AGCACCCACACGCTTGTAAACAGCGTGTGCGTGCTCCCCAAACCCGATATGGTCCTCTGCTCCCGCCATATCTGCCCCTCCCACTGACCGTACTAATCATACCACCCTCTCTTGGCCCCCCAACCACCTCCCCCTCCACTCCCACGCCGCGCCCCTCCGACAGGCCCGGCCTTGGCCCCAGAGAGGCATCCCCCATGCCTCCCCCGGCCCTCCCCGTACCCCCTAAAAATTTGTTAAAACATCCCACTAAAAAAGCTCTGTTTCCTCCTCTTCAGTTCTTGTTTTGCTGCGCACCTCTGGGGGTTCCGCACCCCGTCATTAAGGACGGCCCTCAAGATTATACTGGGCCGTGCCTGCGCGAGGGGGGAATCGCGCAGGGCCAGCAGTTCCGACCTGGAGTATGCTACGAACATGAATACGAGGTCCAACAACAGAAAGATACACACGGGGGGGGGGGAACAAGTCCTCTTGGTGGTCAATTCCCATTTCGAGACCTGGAATGAGCGAGACGACCGGCCGCTAAAGTTGGATCCATGGCCGGGCTCTTCGGGCCAGATCCTCCACCGGGCCGCCGGGCCGCCAAACCCCGGCCTCTACCCTCGCCGGATCCACCGCCGAGTTTATAGACCGAGTCCGTAGGCCGGATCCTCCGCCAGGCCGCCAGGCCGCCGGACTGCGGCCTCCTCGCCGAGTCCGCAGGCCGAGTCCATAAGCCGGATCCTCCGCCGGGCCGCCAGGCCGCCGGACTGCAGCCTCCTCGCCGAGCCCGCGGCCAAGCCACCGGCCGAGTCCATTTTCTCTTCAAGTATCAATAATAACTTCAACAGATTTCTGAAGAGTTCATTTGTTAAATGTATACATTTTATACAGCTGGGTTACTTGATGGATTGTCTTTTCCCTTATCAGCAGAATTTATTTTTTACAATTTTATTACTCCTTCCTGCCAGAACTCACCGCACAAAACGAGGCATCAAGATAAATAATCCAACACCAAAGCAACAGTACTTAATAGCCACTTAATATCTAAAAGGAAAGGTGAGCTAAATCTATGGCTAGGTTTGCATACAATGCAGACATTTTTCCTGTAGCAGGTGATCTAACAAGAGTATACAAATGCAGTAATTCCCCTTGGTCAGTAGTTCTAGTTTTTCTACTCCAATATAAGCATTTTTACCTATAAGCATTTCAGAATTATGTATAACTATTAGATTTTTGAGAATCATCCTTCAATTCATAATGTATGTGTATGGATATGTGTATATCTGTGTGTTTCTACCCCCATCCACCCACATACAATCAACCTTGATAGCTAGCAAAGATATCTAGCCAGTAGTTTTTTAAAGTACTGCTAAACCTGCTAAAATACTTGGTCTATATAATGGTCATCTTCATGCCATTTGTTAATTCAGTCTTTAGCCACCCAAAGCATGAAGAATAACATTAATAATCTGCAAAGAAGTTGAAGAAACAGTGGACCACCTAGTTACCTGCTTCAGGATCACACAGACCGATTACAAACAGCACAGCAAAGTAGCAACAACAATGGGTCACTTTGGGCAGTCTCTCTCTCTCTCTCTCTCTCTCTCTCTCTCCCTCTCCTCCCCCCAAACTATCTTACTGTACAGAGTGATTAATTGAAGGAACTCAGAGTGTGCCAACCCGACCAGATCAGTACTAGGAGAGATCAGTGGTCTCTCAAATGGCCATGTAGGACTTTATAGATACCAACCAACGCCTTTAATTGTACTTGAAAGCAAATTGGCAACCACTGAACCTCACAAAGCAGAGGTGTAATATGGGCCTATCAAGGCCTGCTCATCATAGTCCCTGCATTTGCAGTGAATAAACGAATGATCACTATTAGCTGTCCAAAGTTTGTCCACTTCTTTTTAACCACGTGTTGATCTTGAACCATTCAAAGACAGGAGAACATGAGGGGAGTTTTTAAAATGGAGTAGCTGGTGTCCAGACAATAAATTACGTATCAAGTTGCTGTCAAAAGACACACAGCAGCCCCCAACCAATCTTGGTGTCAAAGCAAGAATATACAGTATTTGCTAATCTCAGACAGGCTAAGAAAGTGGGACTTGATGAGTGTTTGAATAGGAGACTACTGAAAAATCCAAGAAAAAAAGGGGGTAAACCTCTTCCATAAACCTGCTAAAAAATTTACATGGGCTATCCGTATAGTCGTCAGGAGTTGAGATTGACTTGAGGGAGAACTGACTTTTTGCTAATCTGAAGAACCAAAAGCTGCTAATATAGGTAGTCCTCAACTTACAACAGTTCGCTTAGTGACCGTTCAAAGTTACAACGGCACTGAAAAATGTAACATGACTATTTTTCACAGTTATGACCTTTGCAGCATCCCCATGATCGTGTGATTAAAATTCAGATGCTTGGCAACTGGTTCATATTTATGATGGCTGCAGCGTCCCGGGGTCATGTGATCACCTTTTGTGACTTTCTCACAAGCCAAGTCAATGGGGAAGTCAGATTCACTTAACAACCAGGTTACTAACAACTGAGGTAATTCACTTAACAACTGTGGCAAAAAAGACCGTAAAATGGGGCAAAACTCATTTAACAAATGTCTCACTTAACAACAGACATTTTGAGCTCAGTTGTGCTCTTAAGTCGAGGACTACCTGTATAGGGTTACATTCACATGTACTGTGCATTAGAATTTTTCTATGGCTACCTTTGTACTTTTCATAGATATTTTGTATGATCTTCCATATGAAGAATGGCAAAAAACTGTTCATAAAGCAGTTCCTTTGTTTTGAAGCAGCTCTTCATGTCTCTGTACTGTTAGGTTAATTCTACAAAATTATTTCTCAGTTGTTCATACGCTAAAGTTTATATGCCAATAAAAACAATTGTTCCAGTCACCATCATGAGTCTGTGGTTGAAAGTTAACAAGAAGATTGTGTGGAGAAACTTCAAGGAGACAGTAGCTTCTTCTATTTTGGCTGTTCACTTCTGTCCACTCCTGGGAATTCTGACAGTTGGTCTGCACAATTAGATTGTGAAAGTTGATAAAATGCACTACTACCAGATAACTTTATCTTTTTGAGAGTGTAGTCTTCATTCATTTAAGATTTCTTCCCACCCATAAACTATTCATTAGCAGTTCTAAATGCAAAGCATGTTGCATACTTGTTATAGTGGTTTTAATTTTAAAAAATAATTTTAATAATTTAATTTAAAACCAGATTGATTTAGCTAGTTTAGAGTCCCAGGGATTTCTCCATCTCCAGGCCGAAGCTAAAGCAGAAACAAACAAACAAACAAATGGAAGAGGCAGGGAAAATTATAATATGTGATTTTATTATAATTGTCTGTATCCCCGTTTTTTCAGAACGCTAGTCAGAGGAGGGTTGCAAACTGGAGAAATTACAAATTAAGGTTGTCTACAGGCCTGCTTGATGCCATAATGTGTTTTCTTCTCCATCAGTGACAATTTTTGATGGTTGTAGGAAATGTAGAATCGTAGCTTAGGACCACTAGATGCTTGACGTCCCAAAGAAATATGGTCATACATATGAGACCCTTTAAAATAAACTCACAAAGCCACTTTAACAACAATTGCATGTTATTTTTCCATTACTTTTTGGAAAGGGCAACAGAAGGATCCTATCTTTATTGCAACACTAGACAATCCATGACTTTCTGGTCATCCCTTCAGAGATAATTCTTTACCAGATTCCTCAATCACTTGAACAATGGCAGAGCAAAAATAATGTGCTACCTTCACTGAAAAGTTGGGATACATTCACAGATGTATCTGCCTTGAAAATAGCCCATGGCGAACTGTACAGCACAGTAAAACATCAGCCCAGGAAATGTTTTATGGTAGCTTGTATTATAACAAAAACTGTTTTATGATATTTTTTTTGTCAGAATAACAGAGTTGAGAAGGACCTTGGAGGTCTTCTAATCTAACCTCCTGCTCAAGAAGGAAACTCTATACCATTTCAGACAAATGTCATAAAACCTTTCATAAAATTTGCTAAATTTTAATTCCAGGAGAGTCATGGGTTCTAGATTTTTGGATGCATTTTGTAAGTTAGCCCATTAGAAGTATTTTGGTTCAAAACTTCTTGCCCTATGATGCACTGTTTTGCCCAGTAAAATGTTACAGAAAAGAGAGTTTTAGTAGTATATATAGATTGTCTTGAGAGGACTTCCTTTCCAAATTGGGGTGGCATGCTAATAATCCTTTTCATTCTGTGGTTTATTTCAGTTTCCTCTAAAATGCTCTCATATATTTTGACATGTTTTGGCTGATATAGATCACTTTTGATAATTTAGCCAGGCCAAATCAGCTTACTTCCCCCACTTCCTTCTGGCTCCAACCTCCTGGGACTATAGCTCCTAGAATTACCAATTGGTATTCTGGGAATTTTAGTCTGAAACATCTGGAAGTTGCCAGAATTGGGAAAGTGGCTGTAGCTCTCTATTTAATTCTCCTATTGCTGACCTCCTTCTTAAAGTTCATTGTCATTGCTCAGGTGGATTCCTTATGGATTCTCAGAAGCACGATTCACATCTCTTGCTGCTGTCAGCCCTGACTTAATTGTGCTGTCAATCCAACCATGAGCATTGGCCGTATACTCCCCTGCAAAGTAGATTCTGCCTACCGGTGCAGTGAGCGCTTCACTAAAATGTTGAAACTGGTAGGGAGTGAAAGTGGTTATACCACCCATAGCATACTTATCCAGGCTCCATTTTTGAATCATTGAGGGATAACAGAAGGCCTGGATATCTTTCTTGGGCAGCTGATGGATCAATGAAAGGTCATTCATGACAATATCAGCACAGCTCTTGAAATCAAGAGCTTGAAAGAAATTGGCATCATCACCAATGCCATAGGCTATAATAACCCCAACTCCACTAGTAAAGTTATGGTTAGGGTAGTAAATGAATCGGGATGGAAGATCAGTTGTGGACTTCCCACCATGAATGCCATCATCCTCCCAAAATTTCTTAGTGCAAGTGAGGAAGATCTTGGTGCCACTTCTGTAGTGGACAGACCGCAAAGCATGCGCTTTCTTTGGCGGAAGGGGTGGTCTAAAAGTGATGCGACGGGCAGCCCTTGACGTAGTGCATACAATGACATAATCAGCTGTCACAAGTGACGTGTCCTTTGCTCGGTTTTGATATGTCACTGTGACTTTCTTGGCATTCTGCTGTATCTTGATTACTCGGGTATTGAAACGCACCTTTTCCTCAATGGCTCGATACATGGATGTAGGCAACTGATCCATTCCACCAACAATTTCATCAAATCTGGAAGACCAAGTGGGACAGAGGAAGTAAAAACCTGCTCTGCTAAAATTGGATAATGATATTAGTGAATAAGAAGACATTTTGTCACAGGACGATGAAATGAAAACAGTTCTGGAAAGAAGTTGGCAGCAGATTTGATAGAAAGAAAACAACATTCTTTATTCTTATTTTGACTTCGCTCTCTATTATTTATTGTTTTTGCTTATCAGCTTTGTTTGCCACCCATTTCACCATGAGGTGACTCTGGGCGGCTTACAGCATTACAATATCTAGTGATACCATATCAGGGATCTCATCAGGAAGGGCCATTAAACAAAAGATATTACTGCCATAATGCTTTTGTTTAATTCTTAGATAAGCAAATATCTGAAATATGAAATAAGTTTGATTAAGGAATGCTTTTCAAAATTATTGGCAATATCATTTTATCTATACAAATTTATCTCAGGAAAATATACATTGATATAATAATTTGACATTTTTAACATATTTTATGTAAAAATATTTTACGTTTGAAAGAGAAGATGGCATTATCTCAAGTTGTCTACTCAGAAATATCTGCCAAATGTGACTACGTAAATCTGAGATGAGGGAGAATGTAAAAAGGGACATTTATACCTGAGCTGAAATGAACAACTTAGTTCCTATTTAATTGTGCATAGCTTGGATAAGCAAACGCTATACAAGCCTTGATATAGAAACGGACTGTGTGAATATTTGCAATGCTAAGCAAAGTTTGCAAAGTTCTGATACTTTTTTAGAATTAACTGTGAAATACAAAGCGTAATGTGCTTTGTCCCTTGTAGAATGGTTTAACATGAAATGCTATCTTTATAGTCCAGAACGTTAGTCCCAAGGGTTTTTTTTACAGGATGCTTCAAAAAGAATATCTAGCAACTGTGAACCTAATGGTTTAATTAAAGCAGAGGAGATGTTACATAGAGAACAAGTCCGCACAAATGGCAATCTTCATATGCCATTTCTAACTGATATAAAAATTAATATCCAGCGATAATGTTACCATTATTGATAACTGGCATTTCTTGCAACTGCAATATTATGTTAGATTTGGTTTCAACTGCCAGCTTGTGGTTTGGGTTAACAGATACCCAACCTAGCCATGCCAGATTTCTTAGCTGCTGCCAGGACTTTAGTTGGCAGCAAAGAGTTAAGGGTTTGTGTGCATTCCCACACCAATGAGGGGAGGATTTGACTGTTTTATGAGCCTGCCCTCTTGCAGATTTTTATCTCCAGACTCTTGCAGATTCCCATGGATCCTTCAATGGATAAACAAGGGATTTCATCTTTAAAATGGGACAATGATGAGGAAGTCATTTAATCCAAGTGATACAGGTTTGCTTACCTTTTTTCATAAGCGAAGATATCATCATGTTTCATGCTCTCAGTAAAAGACATATAAAAGCCAGAATCTTCATTCAATAAGTCTCCAATCATATCTACAGCTCCAGGACTCAGCTTTCCTTCTTTAATTAGATATTCCTGTTTTGGGGAGAGAAATTCTGAAATTCGTCTCCAATATATTGTCCAAGAACATCCTTTCAGAGCAAGGAGCTTGATTTCAGATTGTAACCGGTGGGCTGCAAATAGGACAAATTCTTCTAATTCTGAGGAGGTGTTGAGTTAGGGGTTTAAGCACAAAGCAGAATCATTCTGTTATTGTTCCACTGAATGACCTCCAGGGGAATAATCTGTCTTTTAAATAACTTCCATTTTGTTGAAAGCAATATACAGGTAGTCCTCAACTGGCAACCACAACTGAACCCAAATTTTCTGTTGCTAAGCGAGTCAATTGTTAGGTGAGTTTTGCCCCATTTTACGACCTTTCTTGCCACAGTTGTTAAATGAATCACTGCAGTTGTTAAATGGAATCTGGCTTCCCCATTGACTGATTGTCAGAAGGTCACAAAAGGTGATTACATGACCCTGGGACACTGCAAAGGTCATAAATATGAGTCAATTACCATGTGTCAGAATTTTCATCACATGACCACAGAGATGCTACGGTCGTAAGTGTGAAAAACAGTCATAAATAACTTTTTTCACTGCTGTTGTAACTTCGAACGGTCACTAAGTGAACTCTTGTAAGTTGAGGACTACTTGTACATGATTTTCAATAAAAGGGATAAAGCTTGAGATGATATGAGCAATGCCTGGGGAAATCTCAAGCAAGGTTATAATAGGAAGGGATTCTATATTTTAAAGTTTGTCGTTGTGCATCCATGAATATGCCTGCATTTCAGTGCTTTAACTTTGCACATATACATTTAATTTAATGATACACTTATAAAAGTGTACATGCCTATTAAGATCTACCCACAGGAAAGAAAGCGATTGGCAATTCTGACCCAGAATTTGGGAGGGCAAAGCAGAAGGAGAGTTGTCCAGTCAGACAACATGGTAGCTTGCTGTTTGAACTAATTGCATTCCATCTCGTTCATTAAATATAATATGGCCATCCTCTCCGTTAGACCAAATTCTTTACAGACTGTAGTCCAAGTGTCTCAGTCCAGACAGAATGCTTGTTAGCCAGCTTAGAGTTAAGTCAGCATGAGCACAGAATAGGATGAAGTTAAGCATGTAGTGCAATCTGTCCTAAGAAGAAAATCTGGTACTTCTGTGATGCCCTTAATGACTTTTTTGTTGTGCTTTCCTATATTTGTCATCAACAGTCAGGCTTTATGGCAAACATGTTGCAATCAGTCCAATTAGTATTCAGATTGATTTGGGGAATGTCAAGTTCTTACTCACCACTTGAAGAACTAAGTTAAAATAGGCCAAACAGGCAGTATCTCTGACTGTTATCTGAGTCGGGTCTGGATACTGTTTAAAAAGGCCATTGCACAGCTTTAGGGGGGGGCACAGTCAATTGCCATGAATCCTGCATGACGAGGAGGCCCCTCCAACCTGTGTTTTACTGTGTTGCATGTGCAAATAAAAACCTCATTAAAAACAGGTGGATCTTCAATGTCACCATTGTCATTGACTGCCATCTTGCTCTTTGGATCACAGCTCATTTTAGTATTTGAAACTCTCAAATGGTTCAGTAATTGGTCTCATATTCTAATAATACCCTAAGAAGAATATTATAATATGCCTTAAATATTACTCCACCCCACCCCACCCCGCCACAAACTGTACTGTTTGGAGACATGGTTTCAAGGCACAGTCCAAATACCTTGGTTGAGTAGGTGTCATATTTATTTAGTATGTAGCTGCAGTTAGTCCTTTTTAATTCTTTTTCAACCTGAGAATGATTTGGAAAAGATAAAGGAGACATAGGAGAAAGGAAAAGCAAGTATTTGTCGTTAAAAAGGTATTACATCAAACAAAAGAAAAAAGACACACATAAAAAGGACAAATGCAGAATCAATATTGATAGAGTATTATACTGTATAGATTAGAACTAGGTTTATGACAAATGGGAAAAATATTAAAGTCACTATGGTATAATAAAACTATAGCACTATATTGAAACTATGGCACTCCCACACATACAATATGAAGTATGGATCCAATATGAAGATAACAGCTTTGTCATAATAAAAAAGGAACAGCTAGAGATTGCACACAAAACAATCAACAACATATTCCAAGGAATAAAATTCACACAGGGAAAAACAACAACAACATGTTACCCTTCCTGGATATCCTCAACCGCACAGGAAATGATGACAAATTCGAAACGCAGGTCTATTGAAAAACAACCTACACTAAACAAGTGATCCATTATTGCAATAAGCAAGTGATTCCTACAAGAGAAGCTGTGTAAGAACACTATTTAGATTAGCACAAACACACTGCAACAACCTTGAACATCAGGAAAATGAAATGGATACGTGCACTTTTATCAAAAAGTGCCCGACCACTCAACCCACTACAGCACAACTGACATAAGCTGTGAAAAGGATATGAAAAGGATAACACTACCATAACTCAATAATATCTCAAAAACAACCAAAAGACTATTACAACCACATGACATTGCCATAAGCCAACTAAAGCCCTCCAAAAATCCTAAATAAAACAAAACATCCAGTTATCCAAGAACAAAAGACAGGAGTCATCTACAACTTATATTGTAAGGACTATTACAGCCAATGTATAGGACATGGGTCGGCAACCCGCGGCTCCGGAGCTGCATGCGGCTTTTTGAGCCACCTCCTGTGGCTCTGGAGCCTCCTCCACCATTTTCAGAGAGAGAGAGAGAGAGAGAGACAGAGAGGCACTTGCGCTTCCCTTCTCTCTCTCTCTCTCTCTCTCTCTCTCTCTCTCTCTCACATGCAGATTTTCCCCTTCGCAGAGCTCTTGATTGGCCCTGCAGCTGGGTGCCCTGCCCTCTGGGAGAAGGGTGGCCAGGAAGAGCCTTTCCGGGGCTGGCCCGGTCCGAGGTGCATGTGGCCAGAGAGCCGTGCGGGGAAGCCCCGGGATCCATGCTGGGAGCGGCCCAGCAGAGCCTCCGTTGAGCGGGCCAGCCCTCCCGCAAGCTGCGGCCCTGGTTGGCCAAGCAGCAGCAGAGCCGGAGATGGAGGATGAGTGGGGGGGAAGGAGGGGGCTTACCTGCACCAGGCGGAGGGGCATCCGAGCCGGCCTCGTGTCTCCCCGGGCTGGGCGGCAGGCCTGGCGGGGCCGGCGGCCAGCAGGGGCATCAGTTCCTGCCCCTCCCTGGGCCGGGTGGTAGGCCCGGTGGGGGCAGCGGCCAGCAGGGGCATCGGTTCCTGCCCCTCCCCGGGCCGCTGAGCCAGCCTTGCATCTCCCCGGGCTTGGCGGCAGGCCCGGCGGGCAGCGAGAACTTCGGTTCCTGCCCATCCCCGGGCTGCTGAGCTGGCCTCGCGTCTCCCCGGGCTGGGCGGCAGGTGGCGGGGGCATTGGTTTCTAGTCGTCCCTGGGCCGCTGAGCCGGCCTCGTGTCTCCCTGGGCTGGGCAGCAGGTGGCGGGGGCATTGGTTTCTGGCTGTCCCTGGGCCGCTGAGCCGACCTCGCGTCTCCCTGGGCTGAGCGGCGGCCGGCAGGGGCATTGGTTTCTGGCCGTCCCCAGGCCGCTGAACTGGCCTCGCATCTTCCCGGGCTGGGCGGCAGGCAGCGGGGGCATCAGTTCCTGCCCATACCCGGGCCACTGAGCCGGTAAAATCAACGGACTTGGAGGTGCTGCGGCTGGCTTTTCGAGTCGCCGCGGACCTCCATTGACTTCCATGGGGACTCTTGGCAATGAAGGGGCTGATTGAAATTGCTTCAAGAATTGAGCTGCAGGATGGCTGAGTGGCAGAGACACAGAGAGATGCAAACGGGTCTCCACAGGAGATGCAGCAAGGGCAGGAGACGAGGAGGAGTCAGCTCTGTCTGTGCACAAGCCCCGAAAGCTTTCTTCCTCTCCCTGATCTTGCCTTTCTTGCTGGCCCTCTGATGTAAGCGTCTGCTGGGTTTCCTCAACCTCCCCCCCCCCATTTTATTTTAATCCCACCACTGCCTCCCTCTTTCGCAAAGTTGACATTCCGGGGACTCGGAGCTCGCTTCGCTCCTGGAGTCGCTTGGCAAAGTTTGAAGGAGAGGCCGTCTGCTCTCACCTCCCACGGAGCAGAACTGCTACTTCCTCGCCCTCCCAGCGAAAGAACCACAGAGAGCTGGAAGACATCCTTTTTCCCACTTTCTGTTTCCCATCCTCTCTTTTCCGAGCAGCCCTCCCAGAGCGAGCCAGAAGCCTCAACTCCAGCCTCCCGCAGCAGGCTGAGATAGGCGAGCCCGAGCAGCCGTCTGCTGCCGCCTCGGAAGATTCACCGCAGCAGCTCTTTCTCCCCGTCGGCCTCCTCCTCCGCTCCCTTGGAACCTTTGCGCCAAAAGGCGGAAAGAAGAAAGTCCCAGAGAGGGAGAGCACAGGGTGGGAGGAGAGCAGTCTTTTCCGAAGGGAGGAGAAGCCAGGACGGCAGAGCCGTCCATACCAGAGCTGGATGGGGGGCAGGGCCGGCGCACGTCTCGCCTTAAGCTCCACTCTTTAATCAAGCCCTGTGTTCTGTGCGCATGAGCGCGTGTGCGTATGCACGCACACATTTTGCGGCTCCCAGTTTTTTCTTTTGCGAGGGAAACGGGTCCAAGTGGCTCTTTCACTGTTGCAGGTTGCCGACCCCTGGTATAGGACATATAGTCAGGAGACTAGCAGAGGGCATCCATAAATATCAACTAGCAGACAGAAGACACAACAAAAACCTCTTAATCTCACAACACATAGACCAGGGGTGTCAAACTCACAATGCCATGTGACGTGTTGCAACGTATCACGACTTTTTTTCCATTGCCGGCAATGGGGTGGGCGCGGTTTCGCTATGATGCATCCAGCCCGCAGGCTGGCAGTTTGACACTCCTGACATAGACTGATTCAGTCATTTTTTCGACTGTGAAATTATGAGCATCCTAAACCAAACTAAATCCAAAAATGCTAGGAAATCCCCAGGAGATTGTCATTCTACAAATCAGCTATCATTAGACACATTGACTTAAATCTCATTTACACACCATTCAAATAAAAAAGCTGAAAAGGAAATAAAAAAGAACAGAACATATCCTCTCCAGCAACCAACCTCCAGATAAGCATTAAGGTATTAACAACAGACAAATAATCAGACAATTAATCAAGCAGAAAACATACCCTAATCAAGGATAAAACCACAGTTCCGCCAATACTGGCAGGACACAGTTCTGTATATAAACAGGGAGCAACCACACACTCATTAGAACTGATGATATTACCTAGTCAGGTAATGACGCAAGCAAACAATCAAGCTTAGAAAAGTCTAAAGATTCCACATAGCTATTACAGGTAGTCCCTAGTTAACAATTCCACTGTTTAGTGACCATTTAAACTTACAGTGAAAGTTTGAACGGTCACTAAAATGTAAAGAAGGTTTACAATAGGTCCTTACACTGGCCACAGCATCCTTACAATCACATAATCATGATCTGGGCACTTAGCAACCGGTGCACATTTATGATGGTTGCTGCACATGAGCCAATGCACACAGGTGGGAAATCCAGGCATATTTCATTTTTTTCCCATATTTATATAAACATAGCTCATTAAGGTAACTTGCTTTTCAATGTATCAAACTGAAACCCACTCAGAAAATGGGTTAATTCAGCAAGTGGGTTGAGAGCTGCGCAAATACCACTGATGTCTGCTTGAATAACTTTATTCATGTCGGATCATTTTTAATCTGCTGAGGGTACAAAAAGCAGATTGTATTGGCATTGACCGGTCAACCCTCTTAACTTTTCTCTGTGAGTCTTGGAGATTGGCATGGCCAGCAATTGTAGGAATATTTTGACCAGAAAAGCGAGATGAGTCTAGAAGTTGCCTTTTTAATTTTTCCCAATTGCTCAGGGTGTATTTAGGATACCCTAAGCCTTCAAATGGTAGATGGGGTTGTGTTGTCAAGAGACACCCAAGGCTAATGTTAAAAATCAGGTGGAGTCTGATACCATCATTTCCGACTGACATATTTTATTAAAAGGCATAAATCCATCAGATGCACGGAGTGGCTAAACCAGAGTTTCCCAACCTTTTCAATCTTAAGAGGTGTAGAAATTCCAGCTGCTGAGAGGCCTTAGCTTCTGAAGGCCATTTTCTTTTCACATTCAAAAGCTGATTTTTAGGGATTGCTCTGAAATAAAACGGTTTATTCTTAAGCAAGAGCTCTCCGAACTCTCTTGAGCAAGATTTATTTAAAAAGGACATAGTACTGATACATGCATTCCAGCAAGTGTAGCATTTTTTAAAAATAGGAACCAATTTATCGTTATTTTATTAATAGTAGTTTTATTTATTCTTATATTTATATACTACCTTTATTTTTGTACGGCTCAAGACAGGGTATTTGATGCAACACTCCTATTTTCCCACAACCACCTTGTGAAATGGGATGGGTTGAGAGAGAGGAGCTGGGCCAAAATCAGGAAGACGGACTATTTCTTCCTTGACTTTAGTTTATGCATTTTAAGTGAAATAAATAGCCCAGAATAATTCTTTCCTAGCAATGAACCTAGAGAAACCGAAACAGGACCAGATAAACTTTAGCAAAGAAGAAACAATAACCTGATCAAGGAACTATCAAGGAAAAAAACCTACCATGATTGGTAGGGCTAACTACCATCTATAATCAGCCAACAAACTCCACTCTCCCCTTGCAGTGATCAGGTTACCCAAGCTGATAACAAAACACTTGCAGGAAAGCAATCAAGAATTCAACAATTATCATTTTGTCAAGATGGGAACCCTCCCTGCACATTAAAAAACAGGCAGAACCTCAGTCACCCTATGATGGCCTCCATCTTGACTTTTTTGACCATACCCTGAGGACATCTCTGGATTATAAACTAGTTTTGGAGAATGCTTTTGGAACCTTCTGTCTATATGATTCACTGCTTGAAACAAGCCATAGCGTAAATTTCCTGACTAAAAGTAAATTTTAGGACTTATCTGAACCTTTCTGAGGGACTCTTCAAATAGCTGTCCAGCACTTTTGCCTTCTTCTGAAGGCTTCACAGGATATTTCAAGACGCCAGGGTCTTTCTTGACTTCCCCTACTCTCTTCCTGATGTTTTTGATAAAATGCCAGGCATTGTCATTTTCCTGAGAAAATTCATTCAACTGCAGACCAAACTTTCTGATATATTCCCGGACAATCCTGGGGAGAGGAAAGGAGAAAACAGTGAAAGAAAAAAAATAAATAGAATGGTGTATACTTCTGTGCAGAAGATTATATCTGATTATTGAGAGAATTAAGGTGCAAATGTGAAGGTCAAATAATTATTCTGTCATCATTTCTGGAGTATCACTATCTCACTTTGCTTTACATATAGAAAGAAAAACTGCACACATTTAGCCAGAATTTCCAGTTTCAACACAGCTTTTTCCCTCCATCATAAAAGAAAGAAAGAGCTACCAATTGAGAAGAGAGAAAAAACCAGCACAGAAAAACAGCAACAATTCTCAAATTGCTTGATAAACCCTTACAAACCATTGTCTTATCAAAATGATTTGGGCTTATTTTTCTCACATGAATAGATACTTGGAAGAAAGTTAAGATCAAAGAGAATGATTCCAATCCAAATTAAACTTATTTTATTCCCAATTATTTGCCCTGGCTTCTAGGACACTTTTTTTGACTTCTCACTTGAGCCTACACTCTTGGGATTTCCTAGTAGTCTCCCATCCAAGTACTAAGCAATATCAGGTTGGGCCTGCTTAGCTTTTTTGAAAGCCAAGCTAGATGTTTCCACCTAATTTGTCCTCTTAGTTCTAAAGGAAATTAGCTTAACCAACCCTGTGAATGCTCCAGCAGCGATACTCCATTCCTTATCACGTTTGTCCTGTTCATGTAGTATAAATTGCTGTAAGCTCTGCTGCCAACTTTTAAATAGCAACTGAACCACCCTTACAAATATGTGGAATTTAATGCTGGCTGACATTCCCAGAGTCTAAAATAGCAATGTTGTGGACATACCTCCACGACCCTCCAGTCTTCTTAGTATGCAAGGAGAAGAAATAAGTAAACATGATCATCTCACATCTCACCTGTGTTTCTCAGGTAAACGCATGGGCCCGAGATTGGCATACCAGCCTTCTTTGTCATTTCGATAAGTCCTCACTCGTCCTCCCGCACGTTCACTGGCTTCAAGAACTGTCACCTGAAGGCAAATAGGAAAGTCAGTGCATCATTTTGACAATGGTTTCTTATTAAAACTTCTCTGCTCGGCTGCTTTGTGACTTATTTTGGGGAGACTTCATAGCATTGGCTTTGAGATGTCAGTATTTTATGGTTGTGGCCACTCTTCCCTTCTCTAAGGTTCCTTACCACAAGTTGGCATTTTTCTATGGTAACTGCTCTTCTCAACATTTGTCATCTTTCCCTTCTGACACTCAACTTTCTCATTAGTGTTCCTTGGGGCACCTTCCCCCAATAGAGTCCCAACAGTTCAGATAGCAGAATTGCAATGTTGAAATGTGTTATGCTTGACAATTATTGGAAGTTCTATCACATTGGTTTGCTTCCCACCCTTTTTTTTGTGCAGTGAATATTTTGTGTGAAATAGCATTTGATCTTCAGATGTCTCACCTGAATATGTCTTAGAATCTAAGGAGATCTATTCTTTGCAATCAGGACTTTTTCTTTTCTTTGTCTTCTTTGTTTTAATCTGTTTAAACTTGGTTTAGTAACATTTTCTTTATTTATTGAAAAGTATTCTAAACAGCATGATGACAGTTGCAGTCACTGTGCAATACAAACTGAGTTCCTCCCTCCTGTGAAGTTCATAGCCCACATCAAGATGGACCACTGCAGCCACAAAAAAAGTTCTATGCTAACACCTCAAAAACAGCCATCAGACTCTACACTTTTGCTGTGCTCAGATCACTTTCTGGTCAAAATGTGTTATCCTTGGTATTCTGGATCTCTGCTAGGTAAGATGTCCTATTCCAATGGTGGCGAACCTATGGCACGCATGCCAGAGGCGGCACTCAGAGCTCTCTCTGTGGGCACCCGTGCCATGCCCCAGAGATAGCAACCATCCTCTTCAACCAGCCGCCCGCTAACTCGCTGAGGTCCCACGTGGGCGGATGCATCCCAGCACCCATGTGCTTGCTGGCCTCTGTGTGTGGGGGCCGATGGTGCCAGGCCCCTGCCTCACCCTGCGACAATGGCACCCCCACTCTGCCTCACCTTGCCTCGCCTCATCCCGCAGGACCAGCCTCCTGCCCCACCTGCCAGAGACCACCCTGGATCTCCCCCAACCCTGCCCGGCCCCCACAGGTGTCCCTCCCCAGGAGCAACATCGAGTTGGCCACGCCCACCCATCTGATATGACCACTGTAGCCACGCCCACCCGTAAGACCACACCCACCTGGCGGCCACACACACCCGGCACCCAGCGATACATAAGTGGGTTTTGGGTTGAAGTTTGGGCACTCGGTCTCTAAAAGGTTCGCCATCACTGTCCTATTCGAATGGTCTATGTCAGGGTCTTCAAACGTGGCCCTTTTATGACTTGTGGACTTCAACTCCCAGAATTCCTCAGCCAGGCATGCTAGCTGAGGAATTCTGGGAGTTGAAGTCCACAAGTCATAAAAGGGCCAAGTTTGAAGACCCCTGGCCTATGTCCATTTCAGTGTCCAAGAGATCCACAGGGTTTCCAGAGGATGCTTGGGAATTTTCCTGACAATCTGTTGGACAGCTTGGTCTTGCACCTTGTGAATTCCTGGAGATTGCAGGGCAATGGATAAGATTGCCCCTCCAATCGCTGTCTAGTTTCTAAGGCCAAGCAACACTTTGGTTTCCCAGGTTCCTTTAGGGATGAAGCAACTGAAGACACTTAGAGCATAAATAGCACAAATCTAAACAAATCTAAAAGTGGAGATGACTGAGTGCTTTTGGACCCGCACTTGACTTGGCTATATGCGATGACTTTTGCATTGCCTACCACCTTCACATTGTGAGGAAGGATGTTTAAAAGGAGGAAGAGATTAGTTGCATAGGATCCTAGAGGAAATGGATTATCTAGCTCCCTTTCAGATGGGGTCCAGGCTCAGGCTTGTGACAAAAACAGACGGGATTGCTCTAAAGTATAATCTCTGGGGCCTGGGAGAGGAGAATGCAGCTCTCATAATCCTGGTAGACATTTCATTGGCTTTCAGTGCCTTCATCTTATCCTTCTGGATTACCCAAGAGTTGGGAGTAAGAGGCACCATTCTAAAGTGATTATGCTCCTACTTAAGTAGATGGTCTCAGTTAGTAGCCATAAAGGGTAAACAATTTCTGGTTATATCAATATGTGATGCCCTAGGGATCTCCTCTCTTATTTAAGATCATCTCTCTTTGGGATGAGGGGTCACCAATAAGCAGATGGCACTTAATTATCTATCACCATCCTAGGCTAAGCTGAAGATGCTGTCAAAATAATCAACTAATGTTTGGAGGTTGGATGGGGAGAAAGGAAAATGGCTCTGTAGAGGAGTGTGTTTTTGCCCACTTTGTTCTATGGAAATGAGAGCAGGCTATGTCAGGAGAGATACAAAAGTTAAATGAAGCAGGAGAGAGAAAGAGAGAGAGGGAGGGAGGGAGGGAGAGAGAGGGAGGAAGAGACAGAGAGAGAGAGAGACAGAGAGGGGGAGAGAGAGAGGGAGGGAGACAGAGAGACAGAGAGAGAGAAAGAGAGAGACAGAGAGAGAGAGACAGAGAGACAGAGAGAGACAGAGACAGAGACAGAGACAGACAGACAGACAGACAGACAGACAGACAGACAGACAGACAGACAGACAGACAGACAGAGAATATGGGTGGATTTGGTCAAGATAAATGACTGATGGAAGCCTATGGATTGTATTTGAAAGGGAATGACTGGAATGGAAGAAGTCTTTTGAGATGGTTTGATCATGTAGAAAGAATGAATGAGGACTAAGTCTCAAAACCAGTATTTGAATGAAGAGTGAAAGGGTTGAAAGGGAAGATGAGTGTGGGAAAATTATGGTTAAGTGGAGTTGGAAAGGTCCTCAAAAGGAGAACTTGAAAAGTTCAGATAACAGAAAGTACGTAGGAAGCAGCATATGGACAGGATGAAAATAAAAACATAAGGAAATAAGGCAGGGAGAGGTACAGTGAACCAGATTGGAATAAACTAGATTTACCTAAATTACTTTTTCCTTTCTGATATCTTGATTTCCTTGGTTTAATAATAATAATAATAATAATAATAATAATAATAATAATAATAATAATAATAATAATAATAATAATAATAATAATAATAATAATAATAATAATAATAAAGTTGGAAGGGACCTCAGAGGTCATCTAGTCCAACCTCCTGCTCAGGCAGGAAACCCTATACCATTTCGGACAGATGGCACATCCCACAAAAATGCGTGCCATTCAGATTGTAAATCATGACCGTCTAGAGTTAATAGCCTTCTGTCTTTTAAATTTATCCAATCCCGCACCCAGGTGAATATTGCAGCTTGGTAGTACAGCTCCCAGTCAGGTAGTCCGAATCCCCCTCTCTCTTTGGCTTCTTGTAGTAGTTTTAATTTAATTCTAGGTTTCTTCCCCTGTCAAATAAATTTCAATATTATTTTATTCAAATTTATAAAATATTTTTTCTCTAATTTTATAGGGACATTCTGAAATAAAAAAGTAATTTAGGTAAAATGTTCATCTTTACTGCTGCAATTCTTCCCATGAAGGAGAGTTGCAAATTTTTCCATCTTTCTAAGTCTTTTTTTATCTGATTGTTTAAATTAACATAGTCTGTATCTATGTCCTCTATCACTTCTGCTGGGGCATTCACCTAATATATACTACACAAGTGAGGATCTGCTTTTCAAATTAGATTAGTATCTCTGTCCAGAATACATTTTTTTAATGGGTGGATGCTGTCCGATTCCTAGGAACTTGTACCCCAAGGAAGTATCTGTGAAGGCAGGTGAGGGTAAGGGTTAGAAATTCTGCTAGCTACAAGAATGGAATGGAGGGAGCAAATGCCAAGGCTTGCTCAGCCTATACAATGTCATCTACATATTCTCTCCATTGAGGTGCTCATCAGTGGGACTGGGGGCAAAAAAGTCAAGATGGCATCTATGACTGTGCAGTGAAAATCTGTCCTTTTCTATTTGCATCACAATGGACATAAAAAGGATGGGGCTTCAACTGCATGATTGTAGGTGCCAACTTGACTTTTCGCTAAATGGTGCTATTGTTGTCCAAGCAAATTGTTGATTGACAAAAATCAGTGGCTTACCTGATGTCCAGCCCCTGCAAGAACATAGGCTGCACTAAGCCCAGACATTCCTGCACCTACAATCACAACATGTTTTGGGTTTGATGTCGCTTTCAGACCATTTCTGGCAATCTCTAGAAATTCTTCATAGTCAGTTTCTCGGAAGCATTCCTCTAGGGGGTTTTTGTTATCTGCACAGCTTCCCAAGGCAGCCAAGAACAGCAGTGAGAACATAACTGGATAAAACACATACAAAAATGGAATATGTATAAGGATGGCATTTTCCTGTTTTTTCTTATTCTGGATTTTTTGCCTCTGGTTCTGTTCATTTGTTCCATTCTTTTATACGTGTCATTGAACCACCTTCTAACCAGAGTTCCTGAGGCCTCCTATACTACATCTAAACTGCAATAAAATGACCAAAAATGGACACAAAGTCTTTCCTTCTGCTTCTCTGGTCACACAAAGGATCTCATCACAAATAAGTCCTCTTCAACCCAAGCTTAACTTCTTTTGATTTCAACGTCCATCTTCTTTTCTTGGCAGCAGTGTGAAAGGGGTTGCTACTTGGAAAGGGTTTTGCTTTCCCAAACATTGTGTTGATCCCAAAAGAAAATTCGGACTTAACAAAAATCAATAATTATAGGCCAATATCGCTTTTAAATTCAGATTACAAAATATTTATGGCAATAATTGCGGAAAGGCTAAAAAGATACCTAAACAAATTTATACACGTAGATCAAAATGGTTTCCTACCACGAAGGCAAATTCGAAACAATATGAGGACGGTTTTGAATATTTTGGAGTACTATGAGATCCACAGTGAAAAACAAGCAGCTCTGATGTTTTTGGATGCACAAAAAGCCTTTGACAATGTAAATTGGAATTTTATGTTGAGGCAGTTAAGCTATATGGACTTTGGCAGAAATTTTATAAACATATTCAGAGCTATGTACGATAAACAAGAGGCGAGAGTTATAATTAATGCTGTTAATGTTTATACTAACTCTCGAAGTACTGACTAGAGAAAGCCAAATTAGAGGCTTAAATATTAAGAAAGAAACCTACAAACTGCAAGCATTTGCGGATGACCTCGTATTTATCTTAGAGGAATCGCTACATTCGGGTACAAGACTTATGGAAATATTAGAAGAATATGGAGAGGTAGCTGGACTGAAAATCAACAAAGATAAAACGAAAATGATAGTTAAAAATATGACTAGTACACAGAAAAATGACCTGGTGGAGAAAGTACATATCCAAATAGTGAAGAAAGTTAAATACTTGGGAATACAGCTAACAGAAAGGTGTATTACAATTAAAGAAGATAACTATGTTAATTTAAACAATCAGATAAAGAAAGATTTAGAAAGATGGAAAAATTTGTAACTCTCCTTCATGGGAAGAATTGCAGCAGTAAAGATGAACATTTTACCTAAATTACTTTTTTTATTTCAGAATGTCCCCATAAAATTAGAGAAAAAATATTTTATAAATTTGAATAAAATAATATTGAAATTTATTTGACAGGGGAAGAAACCTAGAATTAAATTAAAACTACTACAAGAAGCCAAAGAGAGAGGGGGATTCAGACTACCTGACTGGGAGCTGTACTACCAAGCTGCAATATTCACCTGGGTGCGGGATTGGATAAATTTAAAGACAGAAGGCTATTAACTCTAGACGGTCATGATTTACAATCTGGATGGCACGCATTTTTGTGGGATGAGAGATATAACATTCATCAATACTTCCAGAGACACCATATCAGAGCAGCATTACTTAATGTGTGGATTAAAGTTAAACAACAGAACTATATAGAAACACTGGTATGGCTCTCAACACTGGAAGCGCTAGTGCATCCAAATTTCACAAACTTGGGAAAAGTAGTTATGTACAGAGATATTCTAAATGAACAAGGGGAACTTAAATCTAGACAAGAATTAAAAGAAAATGGGGTACAATTGGAATGGTGGGTGTACCTTCAAATTCAGTCACGTTATAAGAAAGACAAAAAGGAATGGGGTATATGGAGGGATCTGACAACACTAGATAAAATATTATTAGGAACGGAGGAGAAAGCAATCAAAAGAACATATAAATATTTATTGGAATATAAAATGGAAGAGGAGCAGGTAAAAGAAGTGATGATAACATGGGCCCCAAATTTCGGATATAATATCGATTTAGACAAATGGCAAATGTTATGGGAAAGAAATAGAAAGTTAACCTTGGCCACCTCATAATAAAGAGAATTTGTACAAAATGTTTTACAGGTGGCACTTCTCCCCAACAAGACTGGCAAAGATGAGAAAAGGTATGTCACCACAGTGTTGGAAGTGCAAGAAAGTGTTAGGGACTTATTATCATATGTGGTGGACTTGTTTCAAAGCCAAATAATTTTGGCGGCTAATAAAGACTTGGTTGGAGGAAATGTTGGGACTGAAGATAGATCCCAGACCAGAACTGTTTTTATTGGGAATGATAGATGGGAAGTTTAACAAAGGAGAGACATATCTAGTGTTGCATATTATAACAGCAGCAAGGTTGGTCTCTGCCCAGAACTGGAAAAACGGAAATTCCCTGGTGGAGAGTGAACTAATTAAAAAAAAATTGATATGTGCAGAGATGGATAGACTAACATTAGAAATTAAAGACAAGGATGAAACAGAGTATTATGAAGTTTGGGATAAGATGTACTATTGGTTAGACTCGAGGAGAAAAAGTCAGAACAAAAAAAGCTCGTCTAGAAGAGAGAAAGTGTAGATTTTCAACCTCAAAGTGAGCGTAAGATAGAGATCAGAAAGAATATGAAATAAGAATGGAAATGGAAGTTATGTTGTAAATAGACGTAAATATGTATGTAAATATATAAATATGTAAATAGTATAAAATGCAATATGTAAATGGTATAAAAGATCAATGAATAGGGAGATATATGGTATATGGTATAGTATGTATGGCAAAATAACAGCCAGAAAAGTCACAGTGTGTTCAACCTGTTTTTAAATGTTTACTCAGTAAAAAAAAATATTAAAAAATTAAAAAAAGAAATAATAATAATAATAATAATAGTAAAGTTGGAAGGGACCTTGGAGGTCATCTAGTCCAATCCCCTGCTCAGAAAGAAAGAAAGGGTTTTGCCTCCCAATCCCAAGCATTTTCTTGGTGGACTCTTATTCAAATTCTTACTTGCTTACTTTTTTTAGATAATCCTTCCAAGTAGCTGTTATAATACTTGTAATGAAATTAATCTGACCTGAAAATTATACTCAAGTAAATGTTAGTGCTTCACAGAATATGCTTCCTTATGTGAACAACTCCTCTGTCATCTTTTGGGGGCTTTACTGGCAGACAGAAGAGACAATAAGAAAAAACGTGCTTCCAAATTATTTCCCTTTGTGTTCAGACATAATATTTTGTTAATAATTGAGTTACAGAAACAAAATCCATGAGACGCTGTAGGACCAGACATTTCCCGTCATCCTTATGGAGGAAGGAACCAGGTTAAGGAAGGTTGGCATGGATGTTACAGCAGTGTTAAAGAATAATGCAGAAAAAAGTACAACTCCAATTATATAGATCTATGTCAGGTTTCTGCCACCTAGTACCTTCAGGATGGGTTGGATGGGGTAGAATCAAGATCACGTGAAATGTTAATATCACTTTATAATGCCTTGGAATATTGCATCCAGTTTTGGTTGCTATGATATAAGAAAGATATTGAGACTCTAGAAAGAGTGTAGAAAAGAGCAGCAAAGAGGATTAGGGGACTGGAGGCCAAAATACAGTATATGATGAACGGTTGCAGAAATTAGATATGTCTAGTTTAGTGAAAAGAAGGAATAAGGGTGACATGATAGCAGTGTTCCAATGCCTAAAGAGCTGTCACAAAGAAGAGGGGGGTCAACATATTCTCCAAAGCATCTGACCGTAGAACAAGAAGCTAATCAAGAAGAGAGCCAACCTAGAACTAAGAAGACATTTCCTGACAGAACAATTAACAACTTGCCTCCAAAAGTTGTGTGTGCTCCCAACGTTGGAGGTTTTTAAGAAGAGATTGGGCAATCATTTGTCTTGAAATGTCATAGGGTTTCCTGCTTGAACTGGGGGTTGGAATAGAAGACCTCTAAGGTCCCTTCCAACTCTATTATTATGTTATATCTGGAGATTTTCTGATTGGCTAGGTCTCACGGTGTTGTGCCATCTAATGTATAATACTTGATTGTTGATTGGTGGGAGAATCCTGATTCCCAGATTTCTGCAAAGATTACAGCATTCAAAGTATCCTTCTACTCAAATATTTCTCACCAAGTGGATATTTGTCTAGTCTGACGCTCTTCCAACACTGTCATTCAAACTGCCTATGCACTGACATTAATTGATTGTACACAATTTTCTACCTCTATGCTACCTTTTAAAGGGTTGGTAGCCAAACCTGTACATGATATGCCGCTTTTTTCTTCATAGATCTAGCCAAAGGCATTATTATACAGGCAGTTGTATTTTCAGTTCCTTTCCTAACAAATCCCATACTTGCAGTTCACCTGGGCTGGTATTTTCATTGAGCTGTTCATCAAAACTTTCCTTACCCTGAACACTTGCTGACATCTCTCAGAAAAGATTCAAAAGCATCTGGATTTGATGTGGTCCCTCAGACCACATTTATTTAAAGCACTGAAATGCATGGCTGTCATATCAGACAGAGCTGAGACTCTGGGAGATGTACAAAAAGCATCAAGTGGCAAACAAAAAAGAAAACAACACACAACATCAAAAGCTAATGAAACAATTACATGTTGATTAGAATTGAAATATATTACAGATAGTCCTTGTCAAAGTTATGATAAACCGTGAAAAAGGGATTTATGACTTGGATTCCATACTCAGCGTGTGGTCCTCAATAGAATTGCATCTACATGGAGGGAAGTGTGTAGTGGGGTGCCCCAAGGCTCTGTTCTGGGCCCAGTGCTCTTCAACATCTTCATCAACAATTTGGACGAAGGGATAGATGGGGAACTCATCAAATTTGCAGATGACACCAAGCTGGCAGGAATAGCCAACACTCCAGAAGACAGGCTTAAGATACAGGAAGACCTGGACAGACTTTAACACTGGGCGCTATCTAACAAAATGAAATTCAGTGGTGAAAAAAGTAAGGTTCTACATTTAGGCAAGAAAAACCAAATGTACAGGTATAGTATAGGGGTACCTTGCTCAATAGTAGTAACTGTGA